GTAGCGCTGCATGGTTCTAAGCTAAGTTTCCTTTCTTTTTTCTGTTCTCTTAGATTTGTCCTCAGGTTTGAAGTGTCTGTGTTGTGCAGCTGGTCTGGTCAGTCTCTAGACAGTTCAGGCTGCACCCATCAGTAAATGGTGGAGGCTCACAGCGACATACTCAACACACAAGTTTCTGAACTCTGCATGAGGGTTTCTCCGACGAAGTGAGGGCCGTGAGGCACAGCTCCCCGTCCCCCGGTGACCCTGCTAGGTCCACCTTCTTAGGGAAACCCTCTGCAGAGGAGCCGACAGAGCCAGGAACTTGTGAGTTGTCTGTGTTCCTGTCAGAAGGAGGAGGCACAGCAGGAGTGTCGGGGGGCGGAAGACTGTGCCTCAGTGCCTCTCTCCTTCTGACATTGTTAAACAAAACCCAACAAATTTATAATTATTCATATATTCATATGTAGGTAATGTGCTCAAGTTCTTGATAACCACTCTTTCTCTCTCTTAGGGAAATCCTTTGCAGAGGAGTTGTGAGAGCTATGAACCTATTAGTATTTTGGCCTCAACATCATATTTATATAAAACTGATATTTCAGTGAAGATTTGAACCCCAGTCGGTCGCGACAGATGGCCACCCCTTTCTGAGCCTGGTTCTGTCGGAGGTTTCTTCCTGTTAAAAGGGAGTTTTTCCTCCCCACTGTCGCCAAGTGCTTGCTCATAGGGGATTTGGGGGCTTTGTTAAAACAACCACTGATAAGTTCAGTGCCATCAGATTTAGTTCTCAGCAAATATTTAAATGGATGATTCGTCATCAAGTGAGGAAACATCCATTTAAAACATATTCACGAGTTGTATTTAGTTTTGTATAAATATGATTTCTGGGACACTAAGGCCAAACACAGACAAATTTGTACAATTGGGGGAAAAATAAATAACAAATCTATAAGAAAAAGATCCGTCATTGTTTCATGTAGAGTTCAAATAACACACCATTTGATGTCAACATATGTTTGTTACATTTTGCAGTGCTGGTGTTATATTCTTATGATTTTGTTCATTTGATGAGTATATCTTTCTCCTTTGTTTCACATATTTACTGCTTCTTGGCTAGCTTTAGTCATGCTAGCATCAACACAGGTAGAAATAGATACACATCAGAGAATCACCATGCATCGGCCTATCTTAATGCAAATGAAAAACGACAAAAATCAAAATATAAATAATTTTCAGATTACTAAAGCTATCAATGGATCCACAGCTCCGACAGTGAAAACACAATCATATCATGTTCAAGTATGTTGTTATCCAATTTTAAAACTATAAAATAGAATAAAGACTATTTTTAGTTTACTTTGTTAATAAAGAAATTTCTTAGAATTTTCAGAAAAACTAACGTTATACATAGCAAAATAAGTAAGTACAAAGTAAGTAAAATTTTATTTGTATAGCACTTTTCAAGATAAAAATTACAGAGAAACTAAAACACACACACACAAAAAAATAACCACAAGCAAGTTTTAACAGATGAGTTTTTAGCTGTTTTTTAAAAGAGATCAGTGAGTCCCTAGATCCCAAGCTCAAATGGAGAGAGTTCCAGACTCTGGGGGCCACAGTTTCAAAAGCTCTGTCACCTTTTGTTTTCAGCCTCGTATGATGGACAACCAGCAAGCCCTGATCACATTATCCTAGGGACCTGTTGGAGATGCATGGATATTAACGATCTCTGATATATGTCGGTGCCTGTTCATGCAGAGCCCCTAATGTCAAAGTCATATTCTTAAAGCGGACTGAATTTAATGGGGAGCCACTGCAGCTGGATCAGCAGGGGTGTGACATGAGAGTACTTGGAAGACTAGGTCAGAAGCCTTGCAGCAGCATTCTGAACACCCTGCAGACGTTCCAATGAGGCATTACATAAACAAGTGAACAAAGAATTACAATAGTCCAAATGAAATGAAAGAAATGCATGTATGACAATTTCGAGGTCTGAGCATGACAGTGGACACAACACTGTTTCTTAAATGATAATAACAGGAGCAAACCAGAGATTTAACATGAGCATCCAAAGTCAGCTGAGTCAAAGTTTACTCCAAGATCCCTAGTAGAGGATTTGCCAAATGTAGCAAGAGGACCTAAATTTTCCATAATCTTGGACACAAATTTATCGGGAGCACAAACAAGGACTTTGATTTTCTCCTCATTAAGTTGAAGAAAGTTATCAGCCATCCAACCTCTAATGTAGTCTAATCTGTAGTTTGGAAACATCTTGGGGCTTAAAGGAGATGTACAACTGAATATCATCTGTACAACACAGCTAAGCGTTTTGCAATTTGGCATGATTTAAAACGTTTAAATTTTTTCTGTATTAAACGGCAGAAATTAAGCTTTCTTGTGGGAGTTCATTTTTGAAAAAAAAAAACAAAAAAACCTGCAGCTTCAGAGTCTGTGAGATGTTGGCTTTCAGCCCTGGCAGCGTGTCGGGTGTGGAGCCAACAACTCACAGATTTTGAAGTGTCGGGCCGCACTTTGTGTTTACATCTTTGTGTGGAATCTGTTTACCTGCTTTCATTTGCTGTTTTAGCTGTTTGGTGGTTGTTGAAATAGCTTTAACCTGAGATTCTGGCGATTCTTACAAAATACACATTTATTCAAAAATCAATTCAGCATTTAATGAATCAGTATCACATTATTCAAGGTATAATCTTATAATTCTTTTTTAAACCCACTCCTATGAAATATTCCCACCAGGCCATCTGACAACAACAGCAACACACATTCCTTCATCTGAGGCTTGGTTTGGTTTCAGCAGGCTTCCTTGAGGATGCTTACATGCCTAAGTGCTTTGAGTTGCTGCTGATGTAAAAGGATGATAAGATTTGTGGATTACTGCAATGAATAGTGGAACAGATGTACCTAATAAAGTGGTTGCTAATTACATGTAGCATGACTTTGCTGCACTATACATCATGCTTTGTTCTCAGATTGCCTGATTGTATAAAGTTTTCCAAAAACAAATCTACTCTACATTAGGCCTATGTAACCAAGGTAACATCTGACACCACTTCCGGAAATCCCTTCATTGTGGCGGGAATGAACTCTGTATAAATTCCGGGTCAATCTGCTGCATCTCCCCTGCTACATGTCATCATCCCTGAATGCATTATGTGCGAAAAAACATGGCCGCTCCCGCGACTCCAAAATAGTTTTAAACAACAAAGATTTAATGAATAACAAATTTTTTTTTTAGTTATTCTCAAGTATGTTTTTATGTAGTGGAGATAATTTGCAACATACATAGAGTAACTTGTCATAATAGTTGGGGTTCCTTTTAAATAGCTTATCAGGTTCTATTTGCTATCATTTCTACTCAGGGAGAAATGAAATAGGAAATGTATATGTATATGAACTGCAGTAAAAATATCAGTGTGAAGAAAGGTCATTTTATTTTTTAAGTAAGTACAAAAATTATATTTAGCCCTTCAAGCTTTTTAAATATGGTTCAGTTTGCTGTTAGCAGTCTGTGGTATCACATTGAATCTAATTTGGAATTATCAGTGGTTTAATGTAATAATTACAAAATTTTATATTATTAATCTGAATTTATTTTTAGTGTTTCCGACCCAATTATATAGAGCAGAAATGTTTCTTCTTAATGGTCATTAGCATTTAACCATATCTGGTCAGTCTTACCTCCGGAGGGCAACATCGCCTGGGTCCTGTTAGGCTTTTACAATAAGGCATGCAATATACATACCTGCCTATATATCTATATAGATATATATAGATCTAGATATACAGATAGATACACACACACACACGCACGCACGCACACACATCTCTTTACACAGTGTGTATATATATAAATATATATATTTTTTAAATGTTCATCTTTATTTCATGATTTTGTTTTATTTTTAAACAACAATTTCAAGCTTTGCACGTAAAAGATTCTGACCACAACAGCCTGTGTTCTGCTTAATATCTTGGCTGCAGGAGGAGCAAAACATCACATATCAGATCCAGCCAATGACTACATATCCCATGACAAGAATCAAAGACATCTGAGAGGAGTTCAACTGGAGATCATGAGACTAAGTGGTGAGAACAGATTTTCTCCATGACCAGAAAGATGTAATCTCTCCTCAGCTAGTTGTGTATCCTTCCCCATCAAAGCCATTTAGCAGTTAGGCCACCCGAGAGAATCAAAATCTAAGATATCAGTGAAATAAAACCTGTGAAAAAACAGTGACACCACAAGAGTGCTCAGTCAAAACCATCAAATTAAGATAGCATTATTATTTACAATATTATTGTAATAATATTTTTTTTACAGATTTTTTTCCCCCCAAACAAAAATAGATTCCTTCCTTTGGTCAAGTAAAAAACAAAACAAAACAAAAACCCCAAAATGAAAACAATAGTGAAATGTTCTTTTCACCAGTCTTATGTTCCTCGTGTTTTTTTTCCTACAGTCATCCAGGTTCTTGAGGCTCTAAGGCTGCAAAGGAGGTGTCAAGGCAATATGGTTATGGTGCCCCTAGCGCTCCATGCTGCAGCATGCTGGGAGTAGGACTAGAAGAGTAGGAGAGGGGCAGAGGCATTGAAAGAAGACCAACGTGTCCTCAGACAGCAGGTGAAGGTGCATCAGGATCAGGCTCATTGCTGTAGTTGTTGCTGTAGTGGTTCCCACTAGGTGGGTGATTAGGCAGGATATCCAGTTCATCCACTTGGGGGCCAGGGTGCATCACCACCAGCTGATCTTGGGGGATGTCAGCTGCTGCTGCTGCTAGGTTGGTGATCGACTTGGACTTAACGCACTGGAAATCAACATGGCGGCTTTTACCCTCCTCCTTTTCCCAGGACATGCGGATGAAGGGCCTCTGGACGTAGTTGTAAATGACCTCTGGACGACCTCCTGGTCTTTTCTTGACTTTCTCTTTATACGTAGGGTAACCTGTCAGAGAGACAACAACACTAGTGGCTCAGTTTATGCTAACTTTTGTTAACACAGAATACAAAAAAGCAAACACCAGAAGCGAGGGGCTCACCCTGAACGTGATGTGACTGACCATTTGTTTAAAAGGAATCAATGCATTACCAAGTGTTGGGCTCTAAATGACCTTTTTCTAGTTTGATCGACTTCCCACTTTAGGCGTGCCTTTTCAGTCACAGCATACAAAAACATTCAGGTAGCAGCATGTCTATTGTCTACATCTGGTATGTGAACATAATACTGCACTCCAACTGCATATTAACTTGGGCAGATGTTAAACTGAGTGAACAAAGCAGTTTAGGTACAAAACCATTACATCATTTTATTAAATAAAATATATTTTGTCTCACGCCGACCACAGTTGATTCATTTGATTCTGACTCTAATAACATCCAGATTGCAAAGAGGCATCTGCTGATAGCTATTTTATGCATTAATTTGCTTGCTGCCAAACAAATCTGTAATTATAAATCTGCAGTATGCAGTGAGTCGTTATATCCTGTACTGTTCATATAGACATCTCTCTCCCACTCATGAGAATGGAAAAAAAGAAAAAAAAGAGAGGACATCAATATTTAATACCGAAAAATTCAGCTCACCTTCAATGCCCAGCCTTATTTTCTTCAGTCCCCGCTCTTTTAAAACTGATTTGGCAACGTCTCGGTTTTCGATATACTTGAAGAATCTGTACAGTTTTGTGCTGTAAATAACTACAAGGAGAAAACAAACAAGGTGGTTTATTGTGCGTCTGTGCTCTGAGATGTGTGCCTACGCTCTGAATTAGTGGGTACTCACTCTGTGAATACTCTTCCCCCATTTGTGGTGGATATTCTTCATCCCAGTCAACCACATCATCATCGGTAAGGACTACAATGTGACATTCCCTCTCTCCGCTCTGGGCGCTGGCCACCATCAGAGGCAGAACCATTTCCTCGAGGTAAAACTCAAATTGACGCCGAGCTCCATCATTGGACAGCTCATGCATCAGGGCACCTGTTAACAAAGAGTGAGACTTTAAATTCAAAATTTCCATCATAAGCATAAACTTTATAAAGTGCACAAAGGTAAGCAAGTAACCCCTGAAACAACTAAAAACAGGCCCTCTGTTCTACTGTCATGCAAGTAGCCTTTATCTTTCACCACAGAGCTATTTCAGAGGTGCCTTCATAAAAACTGAATTCCTAATTAAAATGTTTCTTTCAGATCAGGATACTACTTGTAGTTTTAAGTTCAAACAAATAATTTACAGGTAAGCAAACAACCATTTCCTTGCCTCCATTCCAGCAAAGTACCACTACAAAATCTTCAGTGCTAATGAAGAAAAGGTCTGTCCAGTCTCGCAACCATCAGTTTCAGGCACTATTATGTTGCAGTGCACCGAAAAGCCTTAAAGAACCCACTCAAGATGACCGTGAATCAAATTTGTAGGCATATTTACCCCAAAAAGTTGAGGAGGAAAGGAGACGAAATGTCATACATGATATGCAACAAGTTGTGGCCCTGAACTCACTTTCACATGAATAAGGACTATATGGATTTGAGAAATTTTGTTTTTCTATTCATTATAGGCTAAAACTCTAAAAGAAAAAACAAACAAGAAAATGGTAATTAACCAGAATTACCTGCTGACTTAAAAAAATAAAACATCCTACGTTTTAGGCACACGTACAGGGAAAATTGCTTGTTCTTAAAAGCTGTATTTTTTTTTAAAGCCAAAAATCTGAAATCCTCACAGGTTGGCGATTATGATCAATTAGCTGCAATCTTGTTAAGCCTTGCAAAGTGACGAGGCACTGAGCAGTCTCCCTGATCAATGATACTCAGCACTGCTACTGTTAATGCAACACTAACAGCTTCAGTGTCCCAGAAGAAATACTCACTGAGGTCTCTGCATTTGATGGTGCTGTAGTCGAAAGAGATGCATAGATAGTCACACGCCTCACGCAACTCGGGGATAGAGATTCCATCAGGACAACGGATTATCCCAGATTTGTAGTAATCCTGCCAATTAGAGAGAAATCACAAAGAGGAAATCATTAAAAACACCATTTATCCATCAACTTAAATCATACAATTACAAACAAAATCAAAACCCTTTTCATAAAAATGAACCCGGTAACAGAATCTCAGTTTGCTTTCTAACAGCAGTTTCAGAGTTACACATGTTAAAGGAGACTTCCATTACTGAGCCTGTTGAACTGTTATGAGGTGGGTTTTTAGTAGGCCAAAGGTAACATGCAGTTTGGCAGGAAATTAGATGCAGCAGATAACACCATGCAAATGTCAAACTGTGAATTAAAGCTCAGATTCAGATCAGTCAGATTTGCTTTGTCATTCCAGCCTCATATACACTTCAGATACCTGAATGGGCTGTAGCAGGTACGCACTGTGTTATAGTTGCAGCAGTGTTTTCTGCAGGGTTGGTTTCTGGTGCATTTTAGATGAATCAGACAACAAAAATGCAGCCTAATCTAATCGTACGTTTCTTAGAACTCACCAACTGCAGCTTTCTCAGTAAACTGCGTACTACTCACTCACCATATCGCAAAGTAAATTCAATTTTCCAACATATATCTACTTAAGAGTTTCAACATGAGCAATCGGTCGCTAATTAGATGTAATGTAAACAGTACAAAACAGCCCATGTTGAGTAATATTCTACCTGAATTATGGGTATTATATAATGTTTATTTATTTATTTTTTTAATTTAAAACTAGTTTAGTTTAAAACTAGTTTTATTTCAGCACCATCTGTATTATGATCTACTGTTTATATTACTGCTTGATAGTAAACCATAGGAACCAGTACACTACTCTAAATTTCAGGCATTATATGCATTTTTCAATAACACTGCTATACCAGTAAATTAAGTAATTTAAACATGACCCCATCCGTAATGGTCATGCGGATGGGGTGGGGGCTGTATTAATTCAACATCCTGATCATACAGCGCAAATAATTGAAAAAATTAAAAATTCACAAGTCAATATCAATGTAGAAAAAACAAAAACAAAAAAATATTCAACACTAATAACTGCACATTTGTTTTGTGTCATCTCTGGCCGCATTGAACTTTGATAGACTTTCACAGCAGAGGCTCAGACAACTCCTCACACACACGGGGATCCAGGTAAGGAAAATATAGTGTGTCGCTCAAGGCTAACAGGTGTTATATGTCCCACAAAGATTGGAAGAACACATCCCAGTGGGAGTTTTATTCACAATTTCCTTCTACATTCTGCTGTGGAAGCATTAATGAGCAAATGCTGATATATTTAAAAATTGTGACATCAGAAATTGGTGTTACATCTTATACAAAAGCAATAAAGGCAGCCTGTTAAGAACTGACTTTATAGCCCTGTGTAAAATATTTAAGTTTGGTTAAAAGAGCAAGGAAGTAGATTTTTGTTGACTTGATTGTGTTATTTTATTTATTTATGATACATTTTCAGAGCTTTTTAAGCCTCCGTTGTGATTCGACAGTAAAGAGAAGATGAGAAAGACCAGGGGAAGTAGATGGCCTTAGGGCAGATTGTTTGGGTTGCCTACTCTACCCAGTGAGCTAAAATGATCCCACGATAGCTTAATATCTTTTAATAATAATGTGACACAGATAAAATCATTCAGCATAAGTGTGTATCCAACATTTACCTCACAATCATTTATGCATACAAGGATTATGTAAAAGAGAAACTAACCAGAATTGCTCTGAAAACTGTTGAGCTAATCCCCTCAGCCACTTCGTACTCCCCTTTCTCGTTGGGCCGTGTGAAATTATGTTCTCTTCCAGATCCAAACATTCTGTGCAAAAGAAACTTTGATTTATTCCCCCAACTCACAGATCTATACTTATATGCGTGAATATTAAATTTTTATTTAAGTTTCAGTTGTTACAGCTATGATGACTAAAGACAAGGATAACGAGGATTAAAATATACTTTACCTGCCCAACATGGTATTGGGCTGTGCAGTGAAGATAGAAGGATCCACTACAAAGCGTGTGTTGTCAACAATCAGAGTGACTCTCTCTGAGGTCCGAATGTTTCGGTTTCCAACTGTGCCACCGGCTCCCCCTTCCTTAGGATTCTCATAGACAAAAACCATTTCTCCAGCTGCCAAGCTTTTGAAAGTGCCCTCGGTGCTGGACAAGCTACTGTTGCGACTGCTCACCACCCCACTGCTGCTGGAACCGCTGGGTGAGACTCTCTGAGGCCGCGGACTACTGGGCCTCGATGACGAGCCGCCATCTCGATCACGATCTAGACGGGCGGGCGGAATGAATCACCATGGAGAAATCATCTTTGGTTTTAATGTCCAAATCAAAGATCAAAATCCAGATAGAAAAAAAGTGCCTAGATTGTAGTAACATTTTAGTTTGCAGCTAAGATTTGTAAAAGAATTTTGTATTTCTTTGCAATATACACATTGTATATATACACAAGGTCCCACTCATAACATTTGACATGTAGGCAGTCAAACTTCTCGGTCTTGGTCTAAACACAGGTGGATAAGCATTGCCTTGATCTGCTCACAGCCAAAAGCAGGAGACCTAAACCATGTCTGAGCTGCAAGTTGATAAATTTGGTCAGCTGTTTAACAGAGCTTGCCAAAAGCTGCAGAACTCCAACATGACACCCATATAAGCTGTCTGTTCTTTCCACGCACACTCACCACTGTTGTGCTGGCGGGTGGGTGATGTGACGTTGCGAATGCAAGGGGTAAGCTGGCCTTCTCTCTCATGCGAGGAGTCCCTGGAGCGATCGCTGGAGCGGCGGCGGTCACGTGAGCGGTCACAGCCCCCGCTGGCACCATGTAAGCTCATCTTCCTATGTTCTTCCTTCACTTGAGACGTACGGGCTTGGCTGCTGCTTTTGAAACACAAAAGCATGTGTAATGCACCTCCTCCCTTTCTCAAGGCCAGAGGATATTGGTATTTCATAGTTTTATGACGCACAATGTGGAACACATTTCACTCAACATGGCTGTCACAGCTTTTGGCTTAGGTCATTTGCCCTACAAACAACTGTAGTAGTGCCAACAAGCTTCATAAAGACATTTAAAACTAACCACCAGACCAACCAGACCAACCAGATTCTTCTTTAATAAAACAGTAACAAGCCGCACATTGTGTATTGCAGTCAAATATAGATACTATTACCTTTGATATTTAATTTGAAAGAAAATCAAATCAGAGTTCTGACATGCTTATTTTATGTTTATTTAGAAATTTCATTTCTAAATAAACAGTATGAGCAGTTATAAATAAAAGTAGATTAAAATTCAAATGGGAAAAAGGCACAATAGAGCTAACCATTAATTTCTCAAAGACCAAATCTTCTTAGTGTTTAAAAAAACAACAACAATCAGAGAAAGAATAAAATTCACAATTAGAAGCAGAGCTACAGGGTAAAAAAAAAAGGAAAGGGAAAAAAGGAAAAAAAAAGTTTTGTTTAACCTTTTAGCCATTCACAGATACATCCCAATCCTGGGGCTGAGCATACACTTGCAGAGCTTTCCTGCATACCAAAAATGTTTGTCGGACAAAAATGTTGGCCTTCCAACAATGGAAAATCCCAAGGCCAGTGTTGAAAATGTTTTAAATTACTGTTTAAATATACTCAAGCTTGAGTTTCATTTTGCTCACCAAATTTCCAGAAATAACCAAGAAATTCATAGGCATGTATTAAGCTAGTTAATACCAAGTCACTGTCATAACTATATACCTAAAGTGCTACAGGAAACATGCCTTCAAAAGGTAGGAGACTAAATTATAAAGCAGATAAAGATAAGGCTGGCAGATGAGTTAACAAGAAAGTAAGGAAAGGCTACACAGAGCTCCATGTGGTCATCACGAACACGTTTCAGTAAATATTCACTTAACATCCATCAATCCATCTTCATCCGGGGCCGGGGCAGCAGCCTAAGCAGAGAAGCCCAGACCTGGCAGGGAGAGGGAACTCATTCCCGACCCACCCGGAGTGGGCACTCCACCCTTTTCTGGCTGAGAACCATGGCCTCAGATTTGGAGGTGCTGATCCTCATTCCCGCTGCTTCACACTTGGCTGGGAACCGTTCCAGTGCGAGCTGGAGGCCTTCACCTGATGAAGCCAACAGAACCACATCATCCGCGAAAAGCAGAGATGAGATTCTGAGGCCACCGTAGTGAAAGCCCTCCGCCACTTGGCTGCGCCTAGAATTCCTGTCCATAAAAATTATGAACAGAATCGGTGACAAAGGGCAGCCCTGGCGGAGCCCATCACCCACCGGGAACGAGTCCGACTTATTGCCGGCAATGCGAACCAAGCTCTTGCAACGGTTGTATAGGGATCGAATGGCCCGTAGCAATGGGGCAGACACCCCATACTCCCGCAGAACCTCCCACAGGACACGGTCGAATGCCTTCTCCAAGTCCACAAAACACATGTAGACTGGTTGGGCAAACTCCCATGCACCCTCAAGTATCCTTGAGAGGATAAAGAGCTGGTCCAGTGTTCCGCGACCAGGACAAAAACCGCATTGTTCCTCCTGTATCAGAGGTTCAACTAGCAGACAAACTCTCCTTTCCAGCACCCTGGCATAGACTTTCCCAGGGAGGCTGAGGAATGTGATCCCACTGTAGTTTGAACACACCCTCCGGTCCCCCTTCTTAAAGATGGGGACCACCACCCCGGTCTGCCAGTCCAGGGGTACTGCCCCTGATCTCCACGCAACATTGTAGAGGCGTGTCAACCAGGACAGCCCTACAACGTCCAGAGCCTTCAGGAACTCAGGGCGGACCTCATCAACACCAGGGGCTCTGCCACCAAGGAGTTGTTTAACTGCCTCAGTGTCCTCACCTCCGGAAATTGGCGGGTCATTCCCCTCATCCCCAGACTCTGCTTCCTCCTCGGAAGACGTGTCAGTGAGATTAAGGAGGTCCTCAAAGTATTCCTTCCACCGCCTGACAATTTTCTCAGTCGAAGTCAGCAGCGCTCCGCCAGCACTATACACAGTGCAGGTAGAGCACCGCTTTCCTCTCCTGAGACGCCTGACGGTTTGCTAGAATCTCTTCGAGGCAGTCCAAAAGTCTTTTTTCATGGCCTCTCCGAACTCCTCCCACACCCGAGTTTTGCTTCAGCCACTGCCCGAGCCGCATTCCGCTTGGCCTGTCGATACCTGTCGGCTGTCTCCGGAGTCCCACAGGCTTACCAAGAGCGATAGATCTCCTTCTTCAGCCTGGTGGCTCCCCTCACCTCTGGTGTTATTCACTTAACATCACAGATAAATATGTGAAAGATAAGTGAAAAGTAAGTTTGAGCCTTTGGGCAATCTCAAACCCATGGGAAGTCAACTCCATCACATTTCCATATATTGAAAACCTTAAATACTGCCATAAACAGGCAATATTATTTGATTTTCAAAAATTTTGTCAGTGGACTAACACTTCTCTCCAGTATCACGCAATCATTGAGTTACAGGGAAAGTGCTAGGCCAAATATATATTCATAGGGGTTACGCCTATGAGTTAATACAAAGCAGGACGGATGCAAAAGATAAACATAAGCAAACCGATACTTTCTCTTGTGATATCCCTGGAACAGGGCGTATGTGACTGTTGCTGTGAACTTTACAACTCCATATATTTTCACCTGGCTCACCTTGAATGCCTGCAGAGTTTGCGCGGTCGGCTCGCTGTTTTTCGTTCCCAGTTTTCTGTATCACTGGAGTTGCTGTCATATGACGGCAGACGAGCTGCCATCACCCGGACAGGGGGTAGCCCGGTCTGGATCTTTCACCGTTCATTATCTGTTCGACAAATGGCGAAATCAACAAGTCAGTTTAATTCCCTGGTCAGCCTCGTGTAAAATCCACAGGTAGCTGCTGTCGGTTAACAAAAAAGCTAGGTTGTGCAGCCAAGCTTGAGTTGAACAAAGATTGATTGTCACGTTTATCGCTGTTATCAAATTAAACGTTGTCGACGTTGCTGTGAGACGACTTTGCTATTTTAGCATAGCTAGCTAGTTAGCTAACTAGCATTAGCAGTATTACCAGCGGTACGTTACAACAATATCAGAACAAACTTCCGAGACGCAGAATGGCTAGTAAACATGCTCCAAGAGTGTCTACAGACATGATTTGATACCGTGAGATACAGGAAAGATATACAGAAAAAACAGCTACCTAGCTGGCTACGGTTTCCGCTGCAGTATAATCCCACTTGCTGGCCAGCTAACCAGTCATCTCCTTTCAAAACACTCACCCAGCTGACGTACGACGTGACGACCGTTAACGGCTCGACGTGCTGACGCACTTAAAACTACATTTCAAAGTCATTGCTACGCTCGCCGATCAAACGTGTCTCAAAAGTTAAAGAGTTGAAAAATTAAATGTACTACAGGTGACTGACCTGTTTTCAGTTGGTAATAGAAGAAGTTTTTCTTTTTCTTCAAAAAAATCAAAAGAAAGATGACCGAGTCCCTCAAGTGTCGCGATATGTTGCGTGTGCGATTGCTTTTTTTTTTTTTTTTTTAAGTTTCCTTTATTCATGAAAAAAAAAATCCAAAATGTGAAGATACTAGTACCGATATTTGTAAGCCTATAAAAGACAAAATGAACCATGGAGAAAAGGAAAGAAAAGGAAATATGAAATAAGGTACAAAACAAATAAATAAAAGTAAATAAATAAATATATGTTTTCATGTACATGTAACTCAGCTTATGTGGAGAACTGACAGCAGATATTGAAGAATGTAATTGCATTTATAATTAAAACACCCATTAACATGTGCATTAATTTATTATATAATAAATATAGCACTATTTTAGACTCTATAATCAGCAGTTCCCACTGATTAGATGTTAAATAAATAACAAAATTAGGTTAAGTTGTAGGTAGTCTCATATCATAGTGGTGCTTTGTCCAATTAATTTAAAGGCCTCTAACTGGATGTGAAAAAAACACCGCACACTAGCAAATCTTTGCAGAAGACATTTTTATTTTAAAGTATTAATATATAGATAATCGTTATAGTAGTAGCAAAGTCGCTTATTCAAAGTAAATGCAGGGTCATAGCAAGGGTGCTTGTCAATTAGCCAGATCAACTCTTTAGGACATGACTGGAGGACAGAGCAACACAACAGCCGAACAGGATACATCTATGTCTTATCCATCAATCATAACATCTCTCTGCTTTGCCTTTATTCGACACAAGTCAAACAGCCTGTTATGATTTGCAAACAATATACACACACACACACACACACACACACACACACACACACACACACACACAGTATACAAGGCTGGAAAAGTCTGAATATGATGATATGATGCAATATGTGCAGCCATAAAACTGGCAATATCACCATCGGTCAGTAAAATCACCTTAAAAAAAATTAAAGTGGGACTAGACATCAACTGAATTCTAATCTTTAGGACTGAAAATTGATGATCTTGTCTTATGACTTTTTATCAAGTATTTCTAGAATAATTTTCGTGTATGGCCACTCAAAACATCAAACAATTCTGTAATCTGACAGATATATTACAATTTTTTGCAAATTTTAAAGAACATTACTTAGTGGGAATTATTCCTGCGCCAAGAATATGTTAAACATTGTGTAATGTATTGTATGTAAAGCCATGTATGTAATCTATGTAAAGTCAAGCTAGCGAACGCAATCCAGAAATTGCTGACACAAAAGGCATGTAGGTTGAGTTGTCGTATAGGTTACATCTCACAAAGTTACCCAGTAAAAGTGATCAATACCTGACAGTAAGAATGAAGTACAGCAGTTCAAAGAGAGATCAGAGAGGTTCTGCAGAGCACTTTAGAGAAATTTGTTGTAGAAAGTTAAAGCAGGGGTAAAAATCACCAGCAGAAAATCTGACTCAGTCCTCAGGAGATCATGTTAGTGACTATAAGAGGACTGACTGAAAAACATACAGTATAACTCCTGAAAGTCATTACATAAAGGCATACATATGATGCGCATGTAAGAAGCACACACAAGAAATGTAAGACTAGCCATCTTATTGGTCCTTTACAATATGCAGTAAACAACATTTGTAAATAGTGATGTGTATGGTGTGGAGAGTAGGAGGACATTTTAAAACCTTTTCTTCCCCAGACGGCCTGAGATATTGACTGTAGTACTTGTAATCCTACTGATATGACATTAAAACAGAATGTAAAAAAAGGGAAAAAAAAGAGGGAAAACATTTATCAGACAAGAAAAAAAATAGAATTAAAAATAAAATAAAAAACACAATAAAAGCATAAATAAATCAATAAATAATCTGACAAAATTTTAAAATAAGTTAAGAACAATAAGAAAAAAACATCTAAAATAACTCTTGGAAAAATAGTCAGATTCTTCAGTAATGCATGGGGATTTTGTTTCATAAGATATACTGAACATTAAATCACTTGAATTTGCATATTTTGTATAACTTTTTTAGATTTTTGATCCAAAAACATCATATTGAAAAAGATTTTTTATAGTTCTTGCTTTTCCATGTAGTGGTTTAGAACTGGCCACAATAATTCCCTTCAACTTTTCCTGGAGCCAGTCTTGCCTTTCTCCTACTTGTTTGTGTTCTCGAACATTGTGCATAAGCTGCACCTCACTGATAGTCCTCTTTCTGCACAAACAGAAAACACACACAGTCAACTCAAGGAAGAATTACAGGATCAGTTAATTATTTAAGCTAATTGTGCATTATTAATTTTCATTCCAAAGATGATATTTCACTGTAGAAAGTTTAAGAGTTTACCTCAGTGGTTTAGCCTCTGTGTGGAAGCTCCAGAGGAGGATTACCAGAACCAACATTTCCAAGAACCTCAGTGAAAACATGTCGATTAACTGAAGCAAATTAAACTATTAGTTAGACGAGGTATTTTCTACGTATATTTTCAAAAATATATATGTATATTACAGCCATCTATTTAAAGACATATTCATTGGTCATTCTTACCAGGTCTGGTGTCCTTCTATCCAAGAAATAGTGCGTCAGAGCTGGTAGTTAGAGGACTCTATCCGTCTGGGAAAGAAGTCAAACTTGTTGATCAGTCTTTCGTGTTAGGAAGGCGCTCTCCTTTATATACAGTGTAGCCCTCCCCTGGTCATCAATGAGCCATTTTCACTGTTGATGTTGATGTCACTTTTCCAGTGCATCAATGCGAACAGGCATCTGCATGACACCACCTCCACCACAATTCACTACTAACACATCTTTCAACACCTCTGTAAAGGAGCCTGCTTGTCACACTGGTTTTGAACATGCTCCATTTTCACCCTTCATCCCGAATCATTTTTGTTATGACATACAGGCTATGTGCATACACTTTAGCAAGCAAATCTCTTTATTGGTTAGTATATCTCTAACAGTATATGCCTCATGCAGCAGGACTGCAGTGAAAACATATACTCTCTAAAATGGCAATAACTGTCAAGCTTAATTTATTAGCAGTGCAACTTATTTTATGGTTCATCTCATGCAAGCTCTAAAGTTTGCAGAAAGGTGTAACTGCATCAGGCTGCAGACATAAAGCATTCAGTGTTGCCGATTAATATAATGTTAATATAATCTCTGAGCTCTCTGACGTGACGGATTGACTGAATACCTACAGATCTAGTTCTTCTGTTCTTTCAAGACTTGCTAGTAGCAATAGAACATGTTAAAAGTAGATTGCATCAGCTAAGGAGATCATATATTTTCATCTTCATCAAGAGTATAGAACCACTGATTTTTTTTAAATTTTTAAATTTTTTTTGCATTTTATGTGAGAAACCTCCCCCCCATATCTGTAAAATTTATTTTTGAGAATTATGAGTTCTCAAAATGTTCTTTAATGAAAGAAATTTGTTGCAGATGCTTGTATAAAGCTGCTGTAGGAGTGTAGATTCTACAGTGGTTGCATATAAAGCTTTACTCATGATATCAAAGTGGACCGGACATTTGAAAAACATACAATTAACATCCTGTTAAATATGTAGCATCACACTTTGTGAGGTATGGGTTATGGATAACCTTGTCATGGTGTCACAAGCTGCATTAGGTAACCGTGGAAGATGTTTTCTAAATGTGGCAAAGGAATGGCAATGTCATGACTGACAGAATAGGTGTTGCAAAAGGCCCTATAGCTTTCTGTCATTTAATTTTCCAGCAAAATTTAATCTATACAGGGTGTATTAACCAATCTGAACACTTTTAAATGATATTATTTTCTGGAATGACAGGCTGCATTTCTTACAATTTAAAGGAATTCCTTTCCTTCAAAAAGCATTAATGATTAATTGACTTGTATAATGTGGCAATAGTGCCACATTCTAAAGCCGAAGGTTGGTTTGGTTGTATTACACTAGAATGATCAGAATTGCAATTATAGCACATATTACTACAGCCTAATTAATAAAGTGTCAGATGTACTGCAAAGTCTCAAAGACTGACTAGAGACAAAACTGACATATCACAGAAATTAAAAAGTGAATTTACAACAGGCCAGTATACCTGGCTCAAGTACATGTTTTGCCATATACATCTCTGTCAGCTCTCTGCAACATGCTGTAAAACAGCACTAAGAACCACCTGTGCTTTCAACTGGGCTTGATTTTTTGCACACGTGTAGTATACTCAACCAAGCTTCCCCCATTACTTCATGTGGTCACAATGTGAGCCATCTAAGTTATGGTATGCTGCCAGGGTGCAAGAAGACATGACAGGGATTGATGGGAAGAATTGCATGCAAATCATTAACTTGGGTCACCCCCATGTGACAAAGAAAGCAACATACATAAAATGACTCATCTCTTTGAACTACAGTATATTTAGCCGTGTTGGCCGTAAATAGGCCTAACATTTTGGTTCTTAACAAACTTTCATTGAATTTTAAGAGGCTATATTTGTCATACCCTGAGTTCAGGTGGAAGTTGGTGATATTTAAGAAGGAAATACAATTAATTAAAATAACACAAGCCAGTGCACAGGGTATATTGATTTTTGATAGACCTAGCAGAGGGCAGATTCATTTCACTGGCCTCTATATTGTGTGTTTAAAGGTATGGAAGGACACCCAGGCCATATAAGCGCTCCCTGACTTCTATAAATGGACCTACTTTTTTCATGAAATGAGGTCACCTCACTCAACGATATCATGTAACGAAACAGGATATATTTAGATGCTTGACATCATCCCAGCTTTGCTTTTGAAGCCAAACAAATGCATAGAATGCATATTTTATTCACACCGATTGGATAACAATTTATAGCCTATGAAGTGGGCAGAGTCTAATGCTGCAATAAATCTTTCAGATGCGTGTCCATCCAAGTCTTTCTGGAGCAGCTCAGCAGTTTATTTGCCAAACCAAATGTTTTTTCCCTTCATGAAGCAGGTTTGCAGGGATACGCCAGTCGTGTCAGTGCCATTTTATGTGGATTCCCACACTCACATCAATCAATCACAGAGCTTTGCAATGTCCATTTGACTACTCAGCACAGGTGGTGGTGGTGTCAAATTAGTAGTCAGTATCTCCTAACCGACTGAACACACAGTATGGCCTACAAAGAAAGAGCCCACCTGGATCAGGTTGGCAGCAAACTGGTCAGTTTTTTTCCCCTGTTATTATCATTATCATTGATGTTTTTCTCACAGCAAGCAAAGTTATGATAAGTAGAAAATTTCACATTAGCTTATAACAATATATTTTGAAACAGTTTTAGTTGGCTGTACTATTCCATTTAATACAAATACTAAATCCGTGTGTATATGATTATGATAATCCAAACTCTACCTGGAAATGTTTTGGAAAGTCTTTGCGTTCAGCTTGAATTTAAATAAAGTTTAGAAGTTTATGCTTTGTACACTAAACATCATGACGATTCAGGGTAATACCATGTTAATACCAAATTAAAATAACTGATTAAAAAAGATGTTAATCAAAAGAAATTTAGATAGAAAAGGACAAACGACAAGAGGCACAGAAAGCAGAGTCTGATACTGCTCAGTGATCATTTTTTGTAAGACTTTTATATATCCAGAGGAAATCTGGCATTTATGCATGATTCTGTTTTGCTTATGCTCTGCTGGTTATTCACACAGTAATACTTTCAAACCTGGGAGGTTTCCAAACAGTAGAACTTTATATAAAGCAGCTTCAGAGGAGTCGACTTCTTAACAATCACAGTACTTTTTTATTTTTTTTATTTTTTTTATTTCTGGGTATTATATGTGCAGTTTAACCTAAAGTAAAAAAATATTTAACCATTCAGTATTTTGTCTTGGATTTGTTGTTATTTAATATCAAAGCAGTATGCAAGTTGTGTCATAGTAACCTCAGTTGCTGCAATGTTATTTTGGTTGTGAAAGTTACTATGAAAACAGTGGTTTCCTCACAGCTGCTCATTATAAGTTTAGATTTCTTCCACAAGAGGTCACTGTGATCCAGCAGTTCAGTCAGGCAGACCAAAATCCACTGTAATCCTCTTTAATTACATTATCAGAAGAGCTTTCTGTAACAGCTTTGATAACCAGTATTATCACCAAGTTTATAGTTTGTAGTTAAGTATGAGATTGAAAAAACAGTTTTTGATGCACAATATTTGAAAGCAGTGAAAGGGGTGATAAAAATATGAAAACAGGAGGTTTCAGTCTGATATCAACAAAGAAAAAAACAATAACAGCACAAATACCACAAAATAAGAAATGACCCTAATGTAGTCAGCTGCAATTACCTTGTGAAAACACGCCTTACACTTCATTGCTTGTTTACCAATTATCTAAAGTTTATATTAGTGTGACTTTCTCAACTTTTGGTAAAATACCTGCCCAACCTTCATTGGCATTTTGTGCAGAATTTACATGAAATTAATTTCTCTGAGTTTATTGATAAGCCTGTCTAATAACATGCAAAACCGATGCAAAAAGATGAAAAGGCTTTTATCAGCCTTTTCATCTTAAATACACAAACAGGTCCTTCTGGGACATGATGAGGGAAATGAGGCAGGTGAGAAAAATGAGATAAATTTCAGAAGAGACTGTCATGTGGGTTAAGCAGAGTGTGCTGCTGTGTGTACTGTGTATATCAGCAATGTTGTCTGTGGTAAAAAGGTGCAAAGAATTTAAAGCACAAAACATTGTTATTCCCACCCACTATGAGTCCAAAAGAAAGAAGCCTCCTGCTGGGATTACCTGGTTGTTTCCAACAATTTGTTGTCTGAACATTCGTCGGTATGAGACGATTGTGGAAGTGAGAATGTATTAGAAACTCTGTGTAAAGTGCATAAATATATGAGTGATTTCACGGCGCCACAGTGTGTATTTTATTATATGCGCCCTTGTTGGTCTCACTTTGTTTCCCTGTACACACTCCTTTGGGCTTCTTACATTTTGTGCTACATAGTGCTTCCTGTAGCTTTGTTTTCACAGCATACATTGTGGAAACTGCTTGCATTAAAATTTATGTTTGTACCTTAAAACTTATTTTCTTTCCTTAGTAGTTTAGTGGAAAAAGGGACAAATTGCATCATAACAGCAAGATGCACCACTGTTCTTGTTAAGACTATGAAGGTTTCTAGTGTAAATTCAGTATGAACATGCAATTACATAAAAACGCCTTTTCTGTGAGTTACAGGTGACCAATAACACTAATGCATCTTTTTGTCAGCGAGGCTGTGAATACATGAAGACAGCTCCACTTCCACATAAAAGGAAAAACAATATTTAAGTTACTGAATCATCTACTTTAAAAGATTATACAAATCAATAAAAAATAACCTTCCATACCAAATAGAAACTGTTGGCTACAGAGCAGGTAAATTCACTTTGGTTTAGATTTAAATATATATTTACTGGTCT